CAAGAAATGAGATTAATCATAAGAAATTGTTTTTGTTTTTTTTTCTTTTTTGACAATGTATGCCATATCGTCAATTTTAAAATAAAATGTATTGCTGATAATTTTTTTTTATATAAAAATGTATTGTTGGTGATTTTTTGATATAAAAATGTATTTCTAGTATTTTTAGTATAAAAATTGTATTTTTAAACTTTCCTAGTGATTTCATTTTTGCTTCACTATTTGCCCATAACTGGGACCCTAATAGGTGCTACAGGTGCTAATCTCCCGATCAGAGGCCTTACTGCCGGATGTAGTTTATCGTCATACCCAGGATGATTAGTACTTTGTAAGAATTTCGGAATGGTTATATATTGTAAAGACGACCTTAGCGTTAAGATAAAAAGAAAACACCACCACCACCAACAACAACAACAAGAACAACAAAATGAAATGAAACTAAATTATTTCAAATCAATACATTTTAAATGGAGGGAAAACGTCTTGTAATATTTAGTCTGAGAGAAACTAAGCTAGTATCGTTTTACTATCATCGCTGAGACACTGAATTTTCTCTATTCTTAATGTCCAGTTGAATCGTCGACGTGGCTCCATGTTTTGAAAGGATTCCTGACCCTCTCATGTCGGCTTTAATTATTTTTCTACCGCCGTAACATAGTTTCCCTTTGCGTGTTCTTCGTTTCTATAAATATTTTCATGGTGATTGTTCTGATGAGCTTTTCTTTTTAGTTAGCGGACTTCATGAATTTAAGCAACTACTTCTCATCATGTTCACTGTTTTTATTGTTAATTGTAACCGTAAGTTCTATACTAGTAATCCCTTCTCCCGCGTTTTTCATTTGTGGAACTGTTTTCCGGCTTCTTGCTTTCCTGTCAACTACAAACTTTAAAAATTAAAATGCAACGTCAATCGTCATCTCTCTTTTCGAATCCCGGTCTTTTAATGAATTCTCTCTTTTTTTTTTCTCATTGTTTTTTGCTTTCAGTAAACTGTCAAATGATCTCCATTTTTTATTTCCGCCCGTTCAGATCTTTATTGCTAGGAAACGCCAGGCTACGTCCACGGAGTCAAATCATCCCCATTTCCTCTGTATTCAAGTATGTAAGGAGGATGTTCGACCCAGAACTCTTTTCCCCAAGAGGTGCTACTTTATGGAACAGACTCCCACCTGAATTCTTCCATGAACATTACAATCTTAACTTCTTCAAAGGTTAATAGTTATCTATCTTCCTTATTCCCATATTCTTCATTTCCTAATATTTTCATTTATAATGCTGCTCATTCAGTAACAGTCCACCTAGAGAGGCTCTTGAGTCTTGTATTGGGCGAACTATTAAAAACAAGTCTTTATGACATTTCAGAATTTCATTCGGCTGAAAGGACACTATGGTATTTTTAGATGGCGAACGTTTATCAGGAAAAAAAAACTCCAAATATATTCAATATGGACAAGAGTAGTTTCAATAAAATTATTGCATTAAAATGTGTCTTTTTTTTCAGAATTATTTCATCTATTCATGGAAATTATTTTTTTGTGGAAGATTTTTTTTGAATAACACAAAATCAAATCAGTTACCTGATCATCTTTTCGTTCATCAAACAGGTTTCTCAAATTTCTGAGATGGCACCATGTCAAAAAATTCGTCTAAACATTAAAACATTGTTCCTAGGATGACCTCAAGATCAAAATAAAGAACGTATATATATATATATATATATATATATATATATATATATATATATATATATATAATGAACGATTAGATAGGATGCCTGTGATGGTCACTCCTTGTGGTTTCGTGGTTCAATGACTCCAAGAGGGATGCTGTCGGGACTTCTAAACTCCTGGTAGGGCAACACTTGGCGGCAAGGATTCAGACTAAGGGTGACCAACCCCAAAGAACACATCGTTGGATTGCAACAGATCTCAACGTTTGAATCACTGCATGACGGACATGCGACAGAAGGCGACAATTGAAATTATTGCGTTTCACTTTCATAACTGCATTCTTCGTGTCTCATCTGATATGTGCCGCAGAGGAAGGTCATGAAATCAAGTGTGTGGGTCACTTCCTGTCAAGTTGAGGTCCAACCTTAAACAAATTCACATTATCTGCACTCTTCTCTACTCTGACTTTCTTCCTATTTCAACCAACTCTTGCAAAGCCAAACGCCGATAGGGAATGAATGACGGGAGCAGGTTTTTATCAAACTGGAAGCCTCTAGTCCTGAAAATGCACGTGAGCGGCAAATTTAGTTATTGACGCTATCATCGTAAAGGAAACGATTAGCAAAGAAGAAATTAAATTCTTGGATACCAGATAAAGCGCTGACGACGACGACGATATGAAGCAATACTAATGAATCAACTGAAAATTCCATCAGCAAAGAGGTGTCCAAGTAGATAAGACATTATTAAAAATCTTATTTAAGAATAAAGCTTTAAGTTGATGTTCATATACGCCTTTTTAAATATTTTCATCGTTTTATATTTTATTATCTAACTTAAATTTATGTAAGATTTAATGACCACTTTAAATTTTCATGAAACTACACACAAGATTTAGAGTTTGTGAGGTTATGAAATATATATATATATAAAAGATGGCAATACTTGTAAAGATATGGAACACTATCATTTGTCAGGATGTTAAATGTGCTATAAAACTCTTAACATGGTCTTGTCAGAATCGACAAGAAATATACGCGCTCTAACAATTTAGGCCGACATGATTAAAAGGAGAAAACAATTAAATACGTTGTTTTTACTATTATTACCAGATTTTACATACAGTTGTGAGTCCGATTCACACTGTGTGTAGTGACACTTTGTGGCTTTGTACCCGAGTAAGATTAGTCAATATCTTGGTGATTTGTTATTTCAGATGACTTCAGCTCTGTATAGTGATAATTTATTATTTGTCATGTTCAAAAGTCATGGATTCAAACTTTTAAAACAAACAGACCCTACACACCTTTTTTTGTTCTATCCATCAGTAGCCATTGATTTATGTAAATGCGGTTGTAGCATATAGCTCGCTCTAGCTGATGCCTGAATAGACTTTGCACTGAGAAGCCAGGGTTAGTTTGACAAGTCGAAAGTAGAGATCCGCGATTCAACCGATGTGATTGTCTGAACCAACATGTGAACACGAAATCGGCCCAGTTGCACCTTGGATATACGCGCGATGGAAAAAAAATGACAAGCAGATATATAAACACTCACAAGAGAGTCAAGGATGATTAGATCCACATGAGCATAAAGAGAGCACGTATGGGGAAGGCCACTGGCCAACTGTGATTAACAATGTTCGACTGGCTGGTCACATTCAATGCATGGAAAATCAAACTAATGACGCTCCATGATTATCGAGCGGCGGACCCTGAATATTTGCCTATCGCGATGACCGGGGGTTCCCTCGGAGAGGCCGGCCCTCTGCCTTGACTGCCTCCTAGGACTTAAGCTCAACGAGAGCTCAAGTGGAACTCGTACTTATGATTACTAAATATGCTGATTCTCTATGCTCAGTTCCCTATACTGATCCAGTAACTGACTCATGCTATGATCTACTTTTAAAAGAGCAGGATCAGACCGAAAATGGAGTAAAACTGCTACCATATATTAGAGAAGAATAGCTATTGTGAAATAAAAAAAATAAAGTTATGCATTCCAATTTAAAATTGAGAAGATTCTAAAATATATTCGAAAACACCGTATCTCGACATTATCCAAAGGAAGGAAATTATGGAGGACGACATTAAATAAATTATTATGTAGCAGATCATTTTATTTTTTCATATATGAGTAAATATGTTTGCCTATCATCTGATTCATACTTCTCCCTGGTCCTTTGAACAGGATTAGATGTTTAGCCCTGTTTCTTGATTAGAATTGGTTTTCTGGTTCCTTTTAAAGTTTTATCAATCTCTTTCACTCCCAGTAGCCACCCCCCCTTGCGTCTTAGTGGCCTTATCGCCTTGCTTGGGTGAATTGATTAAGAAAATATGCGCAAAAGTTAAGGAGAACGCAATGATGCAGCTGATAGCGATCCAGAATACTATTTTGAAAAGTGTAAAGGATGATGAAATGAAATGTCAAAAGTAGCACACCTTGAAGTTACTAAGACGTCTTTGCCCAAAAGTGACCTATTCATATTTTGTTCGCTATTATTAAATAATTTAAACATTTCCATGTCTACGTATATAATCGCCCGGTTCATAATCCTCGCAGGTCTTTTGAAGATAAGTAGAGATTTATTTATTGTTTCCTGAGATTGTGTCTCCAGTTCTTTCTAAAGACTTTTTTTAAATTCTCTTTCACTCCTAGTAGCCCCTTGCATCTTCGTGACATTATCACATTGCTTAGGGTGAACTGATTAAAATAATTAAATAAATAAAGGAATTTTTTCTTTTTTTGATATTTTTTTTCGTGTATGCGTTATTTGCTTGTTTTTATTTTAATTTTTCATTCCATATTTTACACCCGAACATAGGGCACCATGACGTGGTGTAATGGTTAACAAGTTTGTTTCGATAGATCGATTATAACTGAATAGTGAGTTCGATCCTTACGGGGTGTTCCACACTTTGTGCCACATCAAAGTGACGCTAAGAAAATCATTTGGGCCTTTCGATGTGATTTAATGGGTAGCAAGCTTGTTTCGCTAGATCAGTTATGAATAAATAATGAGTTCGATCCTCACTGGGGTGCCCCAATATTCCAACCTTGTGCTTCGTCAAATTGGGTCAAAGTCCGTGTTTGCTATCGCAAGTGTCCCGCATTTCAACGCCTCGAGGCGTCTAGGTCATTCGGGACTGAAGACAAAGACAATCCAAAAAGGTCGGTACGTCAATATTGCTTCTTTCTATTTGGTTATGACTAAAAAAACAGCCACCTTACAAAATATACATTTCAAGGGCAAACATTTTGTACTAACCACAATGATGCAAAGAATAGATTTGGGGAGAATGAAATGGGAGAGAAATGAAGGGAAAATAATTAGAGAAAGAAAAGAGTGACGAGATGAAACAAACAAAATACACGTGAGACAGAAAGGCAAAAGATAGATGAAGAAAGAGACGGAGAGATAGAAATAAAAAAGAGGTAACGCAGTGAAAAGCGGGTGGGGGGATAGAAAGAAAATTGAATAAAAGAGAAAAATAGACGATGAAGAATAAAAGAAGAGAGTGAGAGAGGAAATAAAACAAAAGGAAGAAGGACAACGAAATAATGATTGATTAATTTATGCATCTCATAATAAATAAACGGCAGATTTTGTCTGTCCGTTCGTGTGTCTTAAATCCACTCTAGCTCAGGCCACCCTTAGACATGTTATGCCTTTTTGCAATCAGGATGTCCCCGAGATTGAAACTCTTCCCTTCATCTGATTGGGATTTGCGTGCGGGTGAGGAGGAAACAGTTAAAAATTCAAATCTATCTAAATAAATAAACGGCAAATTCTGCCTGTCCGTCCGTGTGTCTGAACCCCCCCCCTCTAATGCCACAATTGCTCTATATAGATATATTATACCTTTTTGGAATCAGCATGATCCCGGGATTGAAAAAACTGAACTTCATCTGATCCTTGAACATCCATCGTTGGGATTTGAGCGCGGATAAGGAGAGAACAGTTAAAAATTCAAATTTTAAAATAACTAAAAAAAAAAAAAATAGTGATTTTAAAAGTTTTTAATTTATATTTAGTTTAAAGTAACACAAAATATTTGTGTTACAAATGTTTTAAATTCAGTTTAAAATATGTCCAAAATTTTGTGAATTGAGGAAATCAATTTTATTTCTTCAAAATGCCAAGGAATCAGAGTTAAAATGAGGATACGTGAATAACTACCATGTTTGATAGAACACAGTTCCATCTGCAATTCTTTGCACAAACGAAACAAGAACGGTGCTTTTTTTTTAAAGAAACATATGTGGAGCGAAAGAATTCCCGGTGAAAACAAAAATCTCTTAATGGGAATAATTTCTATTCTAGATGCCTATAAAAACGTCTCAGACTATTTCGTCACTCAGAAAGAGGCCAAGTTTTGGGAGGATGGAATCATGAAGCTGCATCAAAATGACGAAAGATAGTAGGACAAGATGGCACATTTGTGCTTGTATAAATCTGTTAAAATTTCCAAATATTGTCTTTCACTTTAAAAAAAAAAGACACCATGAACTCATGTTCCAACACAACAGAAAGGAAATTTTAATTTAATTTGATTTTTTAATATTCCGAAAAAAAGAAACCTGAAAAAATCAGACGACTTCAGCTTTGTATAATGGTAATATTCAGCGGTGTGAAATCCGATAAAATTAATTACGGATTTCTCACTTTTCAAATGTAAAATGTGATCGGTTGCCATTGCTGGCAAAAATGAACGTCTTTGAGTGTCTAAACCGGTGTTTCTCAACGTCTTTAAGCAACAGAATACCTAGGAACAAATGATAACATCACGAAACAGCAAAATTCTTAGCAAAATTCTTAAATGTTATAAAATCATAGATTAAAAAAATACACACACCAACTATGAACTTATTTTATTTCAATATTTCTATTCAACTATTTTTCCAACTTATTTAGGATGAAAGTTGTTTTTTTTTTTATTTAGGATAAAAGTTGGTGTTTTTTTTTTTTTTTTTTTTTTTTTATTTCTTCAATGTTTGGCCGAATGTGCAATTAATTCATAATTCATTGTAACTTTGTAAAAAAATTGAATTAAACAAAGAATGTTGAATACAATTATATGAAAAAAAAATATAATATTAATTTATCCAAATAAAGAAAAAATTTTAAAAGTTAAATTAAAAAAATAAAAATCCTTTTTAAAAAAGGAATATTAAAACAAAGTATTTAAAATAACATAATTGAAGAATAGTGAAAAGAATTATTTGAAAACAAAGTTTAATACTTATTCATTTATTCAAATACTAACGCTGTACATTTACTACTTCACACACACACACACACACACACACACACACATATATATATATACATATGTGTGCGTGTGTGTGCGGTAACAATATCTCGCGGTACACTTAACTCTCCACATTACCAAAAGGCTGAAGGTTTAGAAGGAGATTCGTCCCATCGATAGTAGAAAGAGCTATAACATTTAGTGGGCGTGAGAAGACTCAGTCAATGAATGCTGAGTATTTTTTTATAATTGCAATCAAATAAGATAAAACTGTTTCTTTATTTCCTAACATAGTTTTCACGAAACATTCGTCTATATTTTCATTTTCAACGATTTTGGTTTCATCCCGGATTTACTCGCACAAAAAAGACGAAGTATTCAATATGATTGTTATACTCACTTACTGGGGAGTATGCGGACACAACTCTCAATAACACTAGACGTTGCAGCTGTGGCTCCAGTAGCAAGTAGGATTTTATGGGTTGAATTTGTTAGTCCCATGCACAATCAGTTTTGAATTCAGAGTTGTCCCTCTGCTAGGCTGGTTGCTAACCAAGGCAAAGAGTCCTGCTGTTTAACCCATAGCTGGAGGGTGAAGAGATTCTTATCTTTCCCAAGGGTATTTGAGCGTAAGTGAATGCAAAGAACTCGACTGGAATTCGAACTCGTATCTCAGATTTCTCATTCCATTACACCACCCGCACGTCTTTCAATGTGATTGTGAGCATTACAAAAGATGAAAATAATTAAAAATGAATAATTAATATAATTTATTTGAGGAATTGGAACAAATTACAGACGATTTTGTCAACTATTTCTTAATGATAAATAATCAGAAGAAAAAAGGACGTATTATGGCAGACTGAAGACATTTTGAAGAACTTTGAACTGCAGGTTCGTCATCTTGGCCAAATCGATAGGGTAACGACGATGTCAGATGGCCTTGCAAGGATTAGAGATATGAGTTCAAATCTCGTTCTTTATTTCTGATCCCAGCTACGTGGTGATGGTAGAATGCAAAACGTTCTGAACGTTTTGGTGGAGAAAATAAGATGCAAGGAAAACTAGTAGTAAATGAATGTTTCCTCAAAGAATTTCAGATAATTTAAGCCTAGTTTGGCACAAAATAAAATAGTTGAGTCGGGGTATTGTGTTAGACGGATCTGCCACATGAACGTGGTGGGGTTTCCTTGAAAATCAGCATCAAATATAATCATGGGCAACAATGTTATTTATCTCCCACTTTTCGGCACTTTTTCAAGAAGAGAATCCAGGCGACAAGGACAGCGGGAAAATAGTAACAGCGCCATCTGTTATCTCTACACCGAACAACATGCAACACTAAACAAAATACGTTTATCATGGTCGCAAAAACTCAATTTATCTCTGTTTCTCGTATATATTTTAAGGATCTTTTTTTTTATAGAGCTGTTCCCTTCATCATTCTTTTTGCTTCATCCCTGTTATCTTTGTACAAGCTCCCTTCCCCTACGACCATTTTAATCTGATGGCGACTAACACGTGTTTCTTATATTTTTAGTTCCTTTTTGCTTTTGCACAATCTTTCTCTCTTTCTTTTATTGAATTTTTTTTTTCCTTTTCCAACAAAAATGACTGAAAATAAAAAATATCAGCTTGCTTACACTCTGTGAAGATATGATCCTTCTTTAGACATTTTTTTTCTTCTTTTATATGTATCCCTTCAGGATGTGAGCAATCATGGTTCTCTAAGATCCCTATTTCTTGCAGCACTAAGCAATGTTTGACCAATCGCTATCTTTTCCACTGTTTTTTGGTCATTCATTTACACAAGCTCGTTTGCACGATATTTTTTATTAATTCACCCCAAACAAGGCGATAATGTCACTAAGACGCAAGGTGCGACTGGAAGTGAAAGAAAACGAAAAGTCTTCAGAAGAAATCCAGTTCAAAAGACCAGGGAGGAATGTGGATCCTTCTATATACCCTGTGATTGTAAACATTCTCTAAGCCTCCTTTCCTCAGTATCTGTCACAGAAATTTCATCTGTCTCTTTCTGATCCTAAGCAAAAGTGTCCTTTTCGTTCCCATATTTCCTCCATGTTATTCTCGCCTTGTCGTATAGATTAAATAAATCTGCAGAGATTATGCCCCCCCCCCGCCTCCTTGCCATACGCTCCTTTCTATTTTGACGGATATATTCCATTCATTTTCTATTCTGTGTGCAGGCGTTTTGTTACCAATAAAAGTTCTTGATTATTCTAATATCTTTTCCCGCATAAAGCAAGTTTTCTCAGTAGTTCAAATAAATCTTTGTGTGGTAACTTGTCAAATGTTTTTACAATAGTTTTGAAACGTATGACACCCAGTAGCTTTATAAAGATCGTATTTTTCTTATTAGTCTAAGATGTTGAAACGTATATATATATATATATATATATATATTCATACATGTTTCATTAAATAATATAGACAAGTGTTGTCTATTTATCTTATGTAAATTCTTTTCATAACGTCTGATATGCTTAATAACATTATCATTAAACCACTTTCACAGACTATCATCACTGTCTTGTTCGTATATTGCTTAATATATTGTACAGTAATTGACATCTTTATAATGGCTTATGTAAGCCGAAAGCTTAGATTGGATTAAAAAATATGGATCAATATTGTGATTTTCTTTCTTCGTTTAATGATAATGTTATTAAGCTTATGAGACGTTATGAAAAGAATTTACGTAAAATAAATAGACAACACTTGTCTATAGTATTTAATGAAACATGTATGAATGAAAAAATGCTGCCTAAATACACACAATTTAAAACATATATATATATATATATATATATATATATATATATATATATATATATATATATATATATATATATATATATATATATAAAAACGTTGTTACTAGTGAACACTCGTTTGTGAGTAGACGCTTTGTTTATATATTAAACAGTATATTTATTTATATACGCATTGACAAAGTAATTTCGCTTGAAAGCATCCAATTTGACTCCATCACTTCTTGGCCACTGCAGTATAGGTGCCCCAGGCTGAACGGTGGCTCTCTTCAAGCTGAAAGATGCAGGTTCGATTCCTGCTGAAAAGCGAGAATTTTTCTTTACGCGACATCCATCAGAGAGATAAAATTTAAATGTTTATTATTGCATTATTCGAAAATGTTAACACATCAGCAGATAGCTATTAATCTCAACAACTGAGCACAAATAGTTATTAATTTAAAAAAATTAGTAATTAATGTATATATTATACATAACTATTGTAATGTCTTTTTTGATAAAAGAATAAAAAATAACCATAAATATGTAAAAAATGCATATATTGTCAAAAATTCTTTTTTCCCCAATATAACTATTTGTGTTATGTTATAATGCTTATTACCTAAGCAATAATAATACTGAATAATTTTTTAAACATTAAAGTACATTTAATCACATCAGCTGTTGCGATCTTAAGATTTCTCTAAATTTAACATTTTTTATATTCTCCGCATTTAAGTGTCCGAGTTTTTGAGATGGAAATTCTTCCATGTCGACAGTATGTAATAAGATTTGGGTATGCAATCCTTTCGGTTTTATAAGTTATTGACATTTGGAAAAAACGTTCATGAAAATATGTCCCGAAAAGTCATTCATTTTCTTTCTCTTTTAGTCTCAGCAATGCCAGCTTGGGAAAAATAATATAAGTTTTAATTATTTAAAAAAAAACACAAATTGCACACACAACACATATTTTGTTATCCATCTGATGAAGCCATTGAAGGCGAAATGCAATATCGGATATAATATTCGGGACATATTTTCATGAATGTTCTTCCAAATGTCAATAACTGTCGGGATTACATACTAAAATTTGTTAAGAAATGGACAAGGTCCGACAATTTATTTATTAAAGACATTTTTATGTTTAACGTTGTTATTTATAGATACAAGTATTTAAGCAAATGCTCTGTTTATGATAAACAGTATTAAATAACATTTACCTTGTCTACAACGTTAAACATAAAAATGTCTTTAATAAATATACCAAAATTTATTAAAAGCTTTGTAAAAAATATTACATTTGTTACCCATCATTTATTTTATGAAAACTCATGAAATTCTTTTCTGTAGGGCTTAATGTTTAAATTAAGTATAAGTACAAACCGTAGAATAATGTAAATCATCAAATTTTTGTTAGGTTTAAACGTTATATTTCCCACATATCCTCATAAATTGTGCTTCTTTCTTTTACTCTGTAACCCTCTACCGTGAGGGATTCTTGAGCCTTGTACTGACTGAAAATCATTGTAAAAATATTTTATGATTCAAGGCAGATTTT